TATATATTGGATTAGGGAAAAACCCTTTACAAATTGATAAAAAGATCTTTCCCATCAATATTTGTAATTTTTAAATATAGAAAATTACAAGCTAAAAAAAAATTAAAAAATTACTTTTCACTTTGTAGGTGGTCATTGTATAGCGTGTCAAAAAAAAAACAAATTTTTTGATTATCATGAAAGCTTGAAGCTATAAAATTATTTTTTTTTAATGTTCCTAACGATTTTTTTTCCTGAGTTACTAGCGGATTATAATACATAAAAAGGAATATTATGACTTTATTGATCATAATTCTGTTAAAAATCATCATATCGCAATTAAAAATATAGATTTTTAAAGCTGAAACATTGCTCTATTAAGTAGTGTAATTTTGCCAATTTTGTAAAATAGAATATATAAGTTGCTAAAAAAATCTTTTTATCAACTTGTAAAAAGACTTCTTCTCCAATCTGATAGAGAAGAGTAGCCTAAATCGAATCGTATTCCAATAAGATCTTTTTAATTTAAATGAATATGTTTAAGCAGATTTTTGCATGCTATTTATAATATAAAATTCAAATGAGACATCGAATATATACAGCAATTTGACAGTTCTCTGTCATAACAGTCACAGAATAGACGCAAATACGTATTTTCACTCATCATGCAAAATTTCTTTAAAAAAGAAAATTCTTATAAATCAAACGCGCGTCTCACTGAGCGGTCTTATTTTGCCACTCGCTCGGCGATAGGCCGGACGAATTTGGCTATTTCTAAATTAATATATCTGATTAACATTTTCGAAAATTGCAACATGATACTTTTCGATTCAGTTTAGTCCGCTCTATCTACACAAATGGGCTTTGCCAAAAATTGTGGGACACCTTGTATATATATTCAATGTTTCTCAAAATTCGTGCCCGCGAAGTAAGACGTGATATTTTATACTAAAAGAAACAATTTTTTTTTTTGCAAAATGCATTGCAAATTGCATCTGAGAAATAATTTTTTGCAGGAGAACAGATTGAAGTTAACGAGTAAGCGCTCTGATCTATGTAGTGCTCAAAGCCGACGCGCGCTACTCATTCACTTATATCTAATCCTTGGCTAGTATTCATGAGTAATATATTTTAAGATACTAATACGAGTTATGATTACTAATTATGCAGAGATATGGATCATTTCTTCTTGAAATGTATTGTCAAGGTCATCATGAGTGACCTTTGATAGATTTTAGCTGTCGTTTATTATTCATTAAAAAATTATTAACAAAAAAGTTTGAATAACGCTTTATTTCTATTATATATAATATTAAAAACTATTCCATATCCTTTCTTGCCTACGTAATGGCTTTCCACGTGTAGAGGTCCACCCCCATCACCCCCCCACCGAGGAGCGCGCAATTTTCCACGCGAAACGAATTTCATTTCATCTCCCTCCCCCTTTGCGAAGGAGCGCACGACTTTCCATGCAAAGTGAAGATCTCCCCCTTATCTGGTAATTATAATGTGCAATCGTGGAACACTCTCACCAAAAATTTAGCTTAGTCCACAACAAAGAAATCCAAGAATTGGATTAAAAATCAACTGTGAACTTTTTAAAATATGCGCGGATGCCGACTGATATTTATGATGATAGTACAACTGCGCGCATAGTGTAAGGATCATTTATACTGGTCATAACCGTGCAATATACCGTTATCTGTAGATAAGATTTGACTAATCACAATCGGGCATTCCTCTCTTACAATTGAATAAGAGAAAAATACTCGAATGTGATTAATCAATTCTTACCAATTACGATATACGATTACGGCCAATGATCCCTTACCGGCTGTTAGACAGAGCTTTGCAATTCGCAATTGTAAAAAAAAGATCGGCAACAAAAAAGTATAAAATAAATAAAAAATAAAAAATAAAGGCATCATTTTCTACTGTCTCTCTCCCTCTTTTCGTCAGTCAAAAATTCCATCCATAGAGATAAACTGCCGACCCTGTCCTTAAACAAGGTACAAAATAGTTTTTATTATACATAGCAGAAATAAGATGTTTTTTTTTTCAAACTTTTTTTTATTAAGAACTTTTTAATGAATAACGAACGACGGCTAAAATTTGTTGCAAGTCACTCAGGATGATGACCTTGACATCATATGTCAAAGTCAACGTCATCGGAGAGTGACCCGTATGCGTAGTAGTAGAATTGCTTTCATTTTTTTTATGTAATAATAAAAACATAAATAAAAGACTTGTCTAATTTTGTAGATCTATCAGAAAGTAAAGACAAATGTAAATAATAATATACTTGATAAACTTTGTTGTGTGTGAACGTTTTATTCTTTTAAATATTGCAAAATTGCATATGATCTTTATTTTTTATTGCAGAAATAAAGAGAGAATTAATTCATACATACATATAAAATCAATACATATAAAAGACTTGTTCAAAATTATTAATTTTCAAAATGTTATAATACTTATATAATTATCTAAAATCTGAGTAATTGTATCGATATCTTTAAATTTATCACATATTTTTAAAACAGATATTATTTAACTGCCATACACAATTGTGCAATATTTGAAAATATAGAACGTTCAGAAAAACTCACTCAGCATATTATTATTTATGGTACATTTTTATCTTTACTTCAGATAGATCCAGAACGAAATTATTAGAAGTACAAATTAGTTCGGTCCGTTTCCCTAAAGATGGCTTCAGCTGTTATGAATGGGTCATAGTGACAGCTGATTTTGACGGTTTCAGAGAGGTTTTGCTAATAATATTCAGTTTATATCGCTTTGAGTTTCATAAAAACCTTGATTTTTACTGTGTTTGAAATGTCGAATTTTGTGTTAATCAAGCAGCATTTGCGGGAGATTTTGATTTTCTGCTTTAATTGGAAGAAAAGTGCGGCTGAAGCCCACCGAATGCTTGTCGAAATTTATGGTGACACTGCTCCAACTGATAAATCATGTAAAGAATGGTTTCGACGTTTCAAGGATGGAGATTTCAGCGTTGACAAGCCTCGCTCTGGACAGCCAAAAAAATTCGAAGACAAAGAATTAGAGGCATTACTCGAAGAAGATCAGAGTTAAACGCAAGAGGAGCTTGTAGAATCATTGGGGATAACTCAACAAGCCGTTTCTGTACGATTGAGAGCCATGATTCAAAAACTAGGAAATTGGGTACCTTATGAACCGAGAGAGACGTTGAAAGCTGTTCGCAAGTGAAACGATTTTTCACTTGCAAACAGCTGATTCAAAGACAACAGAGAAAAAGTATTTTGCATCGGATTGTGACTGGAGATGAGAAGTGGATATTCTACGACAATCCCAAGAAGAAAAAATACTACGCTAAGCCCGGTCAATCGTTGCCATCGACCTCAACATCAACACTACGGCCGAACATTCATGGTTCGAAGATTATGTTCTGGTAGGATCAAAAGAGTCTTGTTTACTATGAGCTGCTGAAACTTGGCGATTCTATTATGGGCGCTCGATATCAGCTACAATTGATTCGTTTGAACCGTGCGAGAAAAACGGCCGGAATAGGAGCAAAGATATGATAAAGTTATTCTTCTTCATGACAACGCTCATGTCGCTAAAAAAATATTTAGAAACACTCAAATGGGATGTTTTATCGCCGTATTCTCCGGACATTGCTCCTTCTGATTACTGTTGTTCCGAAGAATGCAGCACGATTTGGCAAGTCACCGATTCACTTCTTTCGCAGAAATCGAAAATTGGCTCCAAAATTGAATCGCCTTCAAAGTCATTTTTTCGAGATGGAATTCGAAAATTGCCTGAGAGATGGGAAAAAGTAGTAGGCAGCGATGGATACTTTAATTGGAATACTTTAATTGATCTGTTCATTCATTTTGTTTTGCAAATAAATGCACAAAAAACGGACCGAAGTAATTTGTACTCCCAATAACAATTCTTTTATTAATTTATTTATTATTACGTAAAAAATGAAAACAATATTTATTCTGCTATCTTTTCATTTTTTTACAATACAGAAGAAGATCATGGTCCAATATTCATAGTTAATTCTTATTATAATTTAAGACTGCCATAAATACAAACTTAAGCAGTTAAATACAAACTTAAACTAATCATAACAAAGCTGTATCTTAAAATATTACTTATGAGTACTAGCCAAGGATTAGATATAAGTAAACGAGAAGTGCGTGTCGATCCTGAACACCACATAGATCAAAGCGCATACTCGTTAACTTCAATCTGTTCTCCTACAAAAATTATTCAGATGCAATTCTGCAAAAGAAAAAAAATTGTCTTTAGCATAAAGTATCACGTCTTGTATTTCGCGGGCACGAATTTTGAAACATCCTATATACCACCTTGATCAAAAAGTTCCCGGAATTACCACCAGGTGATGCTCTGAGTCAGCTGATTTGAGTTCTGTTTTTTTGGTTAGGTTGCCACATCTATCATTGACATTCCCATCAAATTTTATCACCATAGCTTGACATTTGTAAAAGTTACGCCGTCTTGAGTACATCTTCTGCACGTTTTCGATTTTTTACAGTTTTAAAAATGGAGTTGAATTTGCAACAACGAGTTTGTATTAAATTTTGCGTTAAAAGTGGATTCAATGATGTGAAAACCTTGGAAATGTTGGGAAACTGTTTCGGCAATGATATTCTAAAGAAAACAGCCGTTTATGAGTGGTGAACGCTTCAAAAATGGTCATGAGTCCGTCGATGATGACGAACGCAGTGCTGTCGACATCGAAAACTGACGAAAACATCAATAAAGTGAGAGAAATGTTGATCAATAACCGCAAATTAACTATCAGAGAGCTGGCAAAGGACTTAAACATTGCTTATGGATCCATTCAAGACATTGTAGTTAATGGTTTGGGTTTGCGCCGTGTTGCTGCAAAGTTGGTCCCGAAGGAACTGAATTTCATGCAAAAAAGGAACCGCGTTGTCATCGCCAAAGATATGATTTCCAAGACTGAATCCGACCAAACATTCATTAAACGCATCATTACTGGAGATGAGACATGGGTTTATGAGTACGACACGCAATCCAGACATCAGGCGAGTGAATGGAAAGTTTCAAATGAGCCAAGACCAAAAAAACTTCGTCGTTTTCAATCAAAAAAGCGATGCTCACGGTTTTCATGGATTACAACGGTATTGTACATCACGAATTTTTGCCAGAAGGTCAGACAGTTAATAAGGAGTATTATTTGGGTGTTATGAGACGTTTGCGTGAAGCAGTTCGCCAAAAAAGAAAGGATTTGTGGGCAAACAACTCGTGGATTTTGCACCATGATAACGCAGCACTGTCGCACAGTGCCATCATTATCCGTGAATTTTTGACCAAGAAACGAATACCATCCAACAGCCATCGAATTCACCTGATATGGCTCCCTGCGATTTTTTTCTGTTTCGATCAAAAAACCATTACAGGGAACGCGTTTTAACAGCCGAAAGGAGATAATCAAAGACGACTCTGATGGCTATACTGACAATAGAGTTCCAGAAATGTTTCGAGAGCTGGATCAAGTGCTGGCATAAGGGTGTTGCAGTCGATGGGGAGTACTTTGAAGGGAACAATATCACTTTTGATGAATAAAACTTTTTTTTGAATTTTCTGAATTAATTCCGGGAACTTTTTGATCAAGGTAGTATACATATAAAAGAATTTGTTAAAAATTTTTTTGTTCAATTTACAAAATTCCCATAGTTATATTCACTAGACATATCAGAATATTATCAGAATTATGATTAACTTCAACATACCCTAGCGATTCTATAATACTATTGTGTAAGTCGGGCAAAGGCAAAGATGAATTGTTTAAATTATTTTGTGTCATGCGTATTTTTGCAGTATCTTGTAGTGAAGTGGAACGATTACTAGATTAGTTGGATCAACTAAAAATAAATCGTGGTACTATGATTTGCCTGATTATAAATAGATCGAAAATCGAAAAAAAGTTTAAGAAAAAGGAAAAATAGAATGAAGTGATATATGTGGTTGACGGAAGAATGTTTTCTCTTCTTTGCTAATGTAATTAAATATATATGCTTTGAAGGTTATTGTTGGATTTTTGTATTGCTTTGTAAGTAAACTTATAGCATATAAATTATGGATGCATTCCATTTTACGTATAATGTGCATAATATATCATTTATTCTTGTTTATATTCACAAAATATAAGGATAAATAATGTATGAATAAATTATGCATGAAACAGAATACATTCATAATTAATGAGAAGATATTATTTGATCAAAAAAAATTCTACAGGTATAGTTTACGAAAAAAATTTATTCGATCGACGACAAATTCTGATAGATTTAAGGGGAATTACTCACGAGAAATTACTCATACTCATCGATAATGCTAAAAAGCATTCTGATTTGTTCATTTTTGAACAGACGTATTAGTTAAATCTACAAGATTTCAATTAATCCAATCAGATTCTTTTTATAGTGTGCATATAATAAAAATGACTTTGTTCTTAGTTCATTGAAATCAAATAAATTCTCTATTTTTAATTTACTTTTTAATTTCTTGTTGTAGAAGTATAAAATAGTAAGCAATTTATCGATTTTTTACTGTAGAATCACCAATGTAATTCTTAGGAACTACAGCAAATTAATTACTCACCATTAATAACATCTTGTCTTTTTTTCTCAGAGTTGCTGAGCTGAGCGAGAACGTCTTCGGTAACAGCCTGACTCCAATCCGGCGGATCAGCTTCAACATCGACATCGCTGTCCCACGAAGTTGACGCGTTTGCCGCTGATGAGGTTGGGTGTACCTGTTCCAAACTGGTACTAGGACTATCCAGACTCCTTGTTGAGAGGCTGCTATTCGATGAACTACCAGCCGAGTTCCCAGGAAATATACCGGACGGTTCACAATCACTGGAACCAACTCTATAGTCAATTGTTAGCAATTTATATATTTTATTATTTACTAACTGTAAGGACCATTACACATAAAATTACCATAGCATAAGGTTTATAAATCGATGTGTACCTTATTTAAATCAACGGCACCTTTATTAGATGCTTATTGGTTCAGCAGCCTTATGCTACGGTTATGTAGCTTACCATATGTGTGTAATGGCCCTTACAGTTAGTAAGTAATAAAATATATAAATTCATTTTGTTTGTGATGACCCTAATACTTTTACTGCGTTCGATTTCAAGTGATTTTCAGTGATTCTATCCTATTTTATGTCTAATTAACGATAAAGATAGAATGATGATTATAAACGCTAAAGCGTGTAAGTGGCAAAACCAAACGCAGCCCCAAAATTATCGGATTTTCTCTTAAAACCGCATTTTTTGCAATAGTCTAAAACAAAAATCCTAATATGAAAATATCTTTAAATTAGTATCAATTAAAGTTCCCAAATTATAAAGCTAATATTTCACACATTCAGACATAACGATATAAGGAATGATATAAGGAAGGTAAAGGAATATTATCATGAGAGCCCTCTTAACAACTAAGATTATCGTACAAATATACAATATTTTTAAGAAATTGTTCCTGCGCCTATAGAATCTGTTTATGCATTATATAGATAATATTGACCGGATCATATCACCGGAAATATAATTCAATAGTGAGACATTACATGTGTCAATGATACCATGTGTCAAATATCAAAATAAATTCATAATCGTATTTATTTGTCTTGTATGATAAATTTTTGTAGTAATATCGGCAAACAAAATTATATTTTGTGAAAAGAATTCAATATGTTTATAATGTAAGATTAGTTGAAACATGTCGAATTGAAATGTGATGAATGAAATGATCGGATGAAATATGACAAATTATCAAACCTACATACACAACAAAATAAATTATAATTTGAAAAAGCGCCTTATATAAAACTGGATTTTAGTTTAATATTTTTAAATAAATTTTCCAAGCCTACAAACTGCGGACCTTTTACTGTCGGACTTTAAACGCAATCTTTAATTGAAACAAGAATAGAAATATAATAAATTAAGAATATATTCCGAATGATGTTAATTTAGCTTCTTTTTTGTATCAGCAGCCACTCCTGAACAGTGCAAATAATGGGATTTTAGCCCTCGAACATCACAAGAACTTCTGTCCCTCCTCCATTAATACCGCATTTAGCTAACTCGTGCGCAATGAACGAGACAGCAAACAAAAGTCTATCTTTCTCTTCAGCAGCTTTCGGCACATTGAGAGTTAACGAGATAGTGAGAGAATTCGTCCTTTTTGCTTTGATCACTTGTTTTAAGCGACCGAATGCTTTCTCATCAATCTCAACAACTCGGTATCAAGAAAGGAGAAGGAGATACTCTAGATAACATACAAATCTAATAAATTGTAGATCAACCTTGGTGAAAATTTTCCGCTGAATTTTTCATATAATATTTTAGAATTTTTATATAATTTTTATATAATTTTATAACGTTCTCATTTTTTATACGAATTGAAACATTTCTCAGAAACTCTACATCTTTTCTCAGAATTTCCATATATGTTAATTATAAAATATCGTAAGATTTCTAAGATTTTTTCTAAGTTTTTTTATAATTTCTGATGTTATAAATCTAATGTTGTAAATCTAATGTTATAAATCTAATGATGTTATAAATCTCAAATGTTATAAAATCTAAAAAAATTTTTAAATATTTTTTTTAAATTATAAGATAAGAAATCTCAGAATATTTCAAAATTCACATGTATGAAAAATTCTAAGAGAAGATATGAACTTTCTGAATATTTCTGAAAAATGTTCCAATTCGTATAAAAATTATAAGAAAAATTTTCAGGGAAACGCATAATCTTCGAAATCAGAATGTTGGAGAATCCTAGTCGAGGTCCCAAGTCTTGCGAGAAGCAGAGAATTTGTTTTTGAAGTAGAGAATTTCGCAGTATTTTATGATTATAACAGATCTCCTAACGTGAATAGTTGTCGACTTTAATTATTATCTAATATCTCGGTTCACGAGACAGATTTATTTTTACGCGAAAACGCATTAATTGAGTATTTTTGTCAAAATTTGATTGATTGGTATTGTATACCTTTACCATAACGATAAATTGAATGGCTACTATGTCAAATTTCGCCTCATGGCAAGCATTGCTGCGATATGTATGCAGGACCAAGAGATATGGTCCATTAAAGTCCATGATATATAGGAAAACTTAAGACATAAGATTTTAAGCAGTAAGTCAATCACAATACAGACCGTAAGACATTCTTACGTATACTATAATATACGTAAGAATAATGAACTCATTCTGTGTCGGCATCTTTGATCTGACTGCTAAATGATTGCTATGATGTCAGTTGTACGTGAGCACCTATAAGAGCAACGTTGTTTAGCTTCCATAGACTGTAATATTTGAATAGAGGAAACTGATTGACCTTGTTGTTAGTGTAGAACTGTTATGCGCGATGGATGACTATTAATATCATTATGACTGAGTGAACTTACCGTTCTACATTGTCATATAACATGAGCTGAATCCAATATGTTGATTTCCTTACTGTTTAAATCTTATGTCTTAAGTTTTTCTTAAATCGTAAGATTAAGTTAGGTTAGCACTGCAATTTTTTTTCACTAAGATATTCATTGGCGTAATCTCATCACGTGATTTCTTCACGCGATTTCACGGGTCTCATCACATGCTACAGTCATCGCTATTCATAAATTGTTCTTATTTTAAGACTGTCTTAATTCTCAGTATACACAAAGGATTAGCGTAATCCCATCCGATTTTCATAGTTCAGACATTCGAACACGCTTTGAGCAGTGGTGCTGAGGGAGAAAACTTATGTACTATCTCTACAATTCCCTTTGGCGACTTTCTAATGCGCCATTAGCTACGTAATTGTACGGTGTAAAATGCGTGGAGTTACCCTAATCCCTTGTGAATACAATATCAGAAAATCCGGACTTAAAAAGTTGAAATGTAAGTAGAAATGATTAATTGAATTATTTATGATTTCAATCATGAATGCTCATCACAAAAATGATTTAAATCAATTTTATTGTGTGTTAAATCATATTTATGATTTTGATCTTAATATCAGAAACAGATTTCTTTTTCTTTTTCTTCCTCATTAATAACGCGGTAAATGTAGCAAATACTAAATATAATATTAATATTTACTTTAGAAGAACAATAGGATCACTTTTTTTTATTTATTTCTATCAAAATTAAAAAATTTTCGGTTTATGATTAGTTCCCATAATACTGAAAAATCATTCATTTCCACTTTGTAAAAAAAATATCGTTTTTAGAATCACAAAAACGCTTATAGTTTCTTAAAATTTAATTCATTAGCTGTTCATTCATCACTAATAAAATCTTGTTTTATTTATTTTTGAAAAAAAAAATTTTGTTTTTTTTTCACGTTTTTTTCCCGATTCCTTTTCATTTATTGCAAAATATCTTTTGTGCTATGACATTTTAGATTTTCTAACTAAAAAATTCTTTTTTTTTCTTTTTCAGTCTTGAAATGATAAATTGAAAAAAAAATTAGTTAAAATCGATGCACTACAATCTGAGATACAAAAGATAAAAGAAAACAGTGAGGATACATATACCCGGATGTGGGTAGATAGGGACCTTTTTGAAGTATGTGTATTGAGGGATAAGATGTCTTAGCCTAAATTTACAAAAAGTTTTTAAGCCTTAAACCATAAGAAATTGATGCTCTCTTCGATGTAATTTTTTATGGTTTAAGACTTAAATATACACTTATTGTAGATCTGGATTAACAGCTTATTGTAAAAAGATTAAGATGTTACGGCCTTTTGATTAGTTCATAACATCTTAAGTCTGTATTTAAGACTTGAATATAAGAATTGACAATGAATACGGCCATAGATTAATATAGTTTAAAGTATCTTTTTATCTATTGTAGAAAATCCGAGTCAGAGCGTTCATAACTTTTTCTTTAGGGTGGGAATGGGAAAAGTGAAAATTTTTTGCACGTACATATATACATACATACATACATACATATATACATACATACATACATATATATATATATATATATATACACATACATAAATAAAAATTTTCACTTTTCACGTTCCCGCTCTAAAGAAAAAAATTACATGATCGCTACTCTGACCATGCTCTCAAAATAACTAAGTTTCCATCGAGGATTTGAATTTCATCGAGTTGAGTGATATTAAAAGTATAATCATGCAACAAAGCTTCGCTGCTGAAGATTCCCCACTCCCACTCGATTCGTGTGAAAATACGTAGCGAGCAAAACTTCGCTCAAAGTTCTGTTCAAAAATACTGTCCAACTAACTATGAGCGATATATATTATAAATTAACAATAATTAGAAATTTTTATGTTAATAGAAATAAAATATTTAATAACAAATATGTTTCAATAATAATTTGGCGGAAGATGCGCTTCCAGTATATTTCTGGTATAGAAACGCTCCTGAGTCAGAGTGTCACGTAAGCGCTCGGCAGCTCGGCCGTCGAGCCTCGAGCGGTGGTGGGGGTCACTTGCAGGAATCAGCCCGAAATGTGCAAATCTTTGCAAGCACTGGTCTACTTGATTGGCCTTCATTGATACTTCAAAGCATTTTTTGATTGGTCAATTTTTTTGTCTGTTCAACGATTTTTTATTCACGGTAGTGAGAGTAACTTCGTCAGCGAAACTTCGCTCCATGAAAAAATAAGAAGGCTTCAGCGAAGAGCGCTGAACGCTGATTTCATTTTCGGCGGAATGCACAGTGAAATATAATCCGAAAAAGTGGCCAAAACTCAGCTATTTTATATCCATAATGAAGTCTCTTATCGTTATCTACACATATTAAAAAACTTAAAAATAAAAATTTATGTTGATATATTAATTATAGATTGAAATATGTGATATTGTAGCCTTTG